CATGTATATTATCTAGGGTGAAACAGATCACCAGCCCAGGTTGGGTGCATGAGACAAGTGCTCGGGCCTGGTGCACTGGGAAGACCCAGAGGGATCGGGTGGAGAGGGAGGTGGGAGGGGGGACCGGGATGGGGAATACATGTAAATCCATGGCTGATTCATTTCAATGTATGACAAAAACCACTGCAATGATGTAAAGTAATTAGCCTCCAACTAATAAAAATAAACGGAAAAAAAAAAAAAAAGACTGTAGTACCAGAGCTCTCAGAGCCCCCTGGACGACACCTAACGGTTTCATATTGGGTCTCTCTTTCACCAGGGAAAAATATAATTAAACTAATAACAAGTTCTGTGCTTAGTCACTCAGTTATGTCCGCCTCTTTGAGACCCCACGGACTGCAGCCCGCCAGGCTCCTCTGTCCATGGCGATTCTCCAGGCAAGAATACTAGATTGGGTTGCTATACCCCCCTTCAGGGGATCTTCCCAGCCCAGGGATCGAACCCAGATCTCCCGCATTACAGACAGATTCTTTACCGCCTGAGCTTAAAGCCAAGTCATTGCCTTTCTTCGAAGGGGAGTGGATCAGGAATATCAGCTTTATTTCCCTCTAGGTTTCAGGGTCTCTCCAAGCTCCACAGAAACCTGGGGAATAAGATAGATACTTTATAAAATAAAGCCTTTTATTTTTTTAAGCTCTTAGAGTCTTAAAAAAAGGAGAGATGCCAAAAAAGGATTATAAAAATTGCAGTGTATTTTAAATGTGCCAAGTTCATGAATTGACTTTCTGTTACACAAATGGCCATAAAGTAGAATTAATTGGGCTATAAAATGACTTCTGGATTAAAACTTAATTTGCTGATGCAAGTTCATGTGCCTGAGGCACAGTGAGGCCAAACAAACTGAAACGTCAGAGGAAAGGAAATTTCATTGCAAGAAGCGGAGGCTCATACCCTAGAAATCCTTGAACTCCCTGAAAGACTTCAGCAAAGCATTTTTAAAAGCCAGCTTGAGGGAGGTGGTCGCAGGGTCCCCCATGATCCTCTGATTGGCTGATGAGGAGGAGCAGAGGGTGTCACAGGGGTTCCGTCTACCAGTCCTGAGGCTCCAGGAGGCCTGGGGCCGGGTGCTCATGGTTATCAAGTAGTCAACATCTTCCCTTTGGTGGGGGGTTTTCACCCCTGCAAAACAGCTCAGGAAATGTGCATCAAATACTATTGCGTAGGTACTTCAGAGAGAGCTGGAGCAGGGGATAAGAGGGAAGGCCTGACCACCCCACACACACCCCAACCCCGGGAAGGCCCCATAGGGTCCTGCTCACTTACACATCTACTGGTGGTTTGATAGGAATAGCAGCTTCCCTCACTCACGGCTAATACAAGGAAACTGACAGTCGTCACCACTTCGAGTTCCAAGCGAGCAGACACAGTTAGCAGGCGGCGCTGGGTCTCTCCACTCCTCCCAGAGAGGAAGACATCCAGAAGAGCAGTTAGGGAGCGGCTGCTCAGGGAAGCTGAAGTCCCAGACTGGAATCAGACGTGTCCTCATCTTTCTTATCTGGGTCTAGCCCCTCCCTGGGGAACGGGTCTTTAGGACCTTGATCAACTCCAGTCCGAACTACCCACTGGGCCACAGAGCCCTGATTGCCCCTTGAGCTCTGGCCCTGGAACTCCTGGATGTCTGGGTCTGTGTCTGATCGGTCCCAGGGTGGGGAGGTGACCCCTACTCAGACAGCTCAGGCTGACGAGAGGGAAGGGGCTGTAGGACTCAGTCTGGAGAGGAACGGCTGTCGGGATGCAACGGGTCTTGTTCTGATGCTCAGGGTGGCCAGGATCAGATTCAGCAGCTGAGAGGCAATCCCGTTGGAGAATTGTTGGTGTGTCCTTGGAGTGAAGCTCTGCAAGAGGCCTCTAGCACCTCCTGGTGGTGGGCTGAAGAACTGCCACAAGTGGGCCCTGGTGTGTGCCGACTTCCTCAGTCGTGTCTGAGCTCACCAGGCTCCTCTGTCCATGGGATTCTCCAGACAAGAACACTGGACTGGATTGCCGTGCCCTCCTCCAGGGGATCTTCCCGACCCAGAGATCGAACCTGCATCTCTTATGTCTCCTTCATTGCAGGTAGTGTTTACCACTAGCACCACCTGGGAAGCCCGAGTGGTCACCTTCTACTTTTGCCCTTGAGGTCAGGAAATAGAGATGCCACATCCACCCAGCAAGGCTTCCGACCGACCTGGGGCTCAGACACGGGCGATGGGTCCCAACAAGGTAAACTACACCTCGACCCAAGCTCCCACCTCCCAGAGAGCAAGAGGCTCCATTTTATGGAGACTGCTTTTGATGCTGGCTGACTCAGAGGGGATCACCCGGCTGGAGAGGGAGGGTAGTCCCAGCCCCTGCGGCTTCTTGACCCAGGCCTTTGCCTCCATCCAGCCCGTCCACCTCCTCCACCAGCCAGAGTCTCTCATCCGAGAGGTCGTCTCTGCCCTCCTGTCACCCCACCCTCTGAATTCCGGTCTGGTTTTTTTTTTTTTTCTCTATAAAGACTTCTTTTTTTTTTATGTGAACCATTTTTAAAGTGCTTATTGAATTTGTTACAACATTGCTTCTGTTGTTTATGTTTTGGTTTTTTGGCCATGAGGCATGTGGAATCTTAGTTCCCTGACCAGGGATCAAACCCACACTCCCCGTATTGAAAGGCGAAGTCTTAACCACTGGACCACCAGAGAAGTCCCCACAACGCTTATTATAAATCAGTGTTATATCTTTATTGTTTTTAAAAACTCCCATTAGAATATAAACCCATGTTTTAATGATTGCTCTCTCCCCGACACCTAGGAACATGCCAGGCTCTTTGTATTTGGTGAGTGAATGAAGAAATGAAGAGTCGAGAATCTATACCTGGGGGAAAGAAACACAGGTGGGTGAGATGGCAGAAAATCAGGCCCTGGGGTCCCCTGATGAACGGTGCTGTGCCTGGGGCTCCCTCCTAGGGAATGAGGGGTTCTGGGTGCCCTTGTGAAATGCTCTCCCTGGTTCTCCCCAGCCAAGCACCAGGCAGGTAAACATCATATAGACACTTGTATACGTGATATAGTTCATTAAACTTTTAAAGTTTTTTTTTTTTTAATCGAGTCTCTGGCTATAAGGTGAAAAGCGACGTGAAGTTCAAGGTCAGAAGTTCTTCTCTAATCTGCTCTGGACAGTATATTGATGGCGAGGGGGCAAGGCTGCAGATTGTCTTGGTCAGACTGGTTCTGTCTCCCCACAAATTGCCCGCTGAGTCCTGTTGACCCAGAGGAGGGCACCGAGCAGGGGCACCTTCAGGAAGACCAGGAGCAGGAAGTGGGTGCTGCCCAGCCGGGGCCTGTGGGGGGATGTGGTGAGTTTCTGCTTCAACAGGAGGCCCAGGGCCCTCCCCCATCTTCCTCTGTGTTCAGGTCCTGTGGCCTCAAAACTCAAAATCAAGGTCAAGTCTGGTTGCTATTGAGACTGCATTGGGTTTTAGTAGCGGTATACAGGATCTTTAGTTCTGGCAAGTAGAATCCTACTTCCCTGACCAGGGGCTGAACCTGGGCTGCCTGCGTTGGGAGCGTGGAGTCTTAGCCACTGGACCACCGGGGAAGTCCCCACTCACCCTTAACAATCGCGTGGGAGAGCATCTCTTCTGTGTAAATGGTTCTGCAGTCTCAACCACAACAATCTCAACTCCTAGCTCAGCTCATGGCCAGTTCTCTCACCTCCGGGTCCCAGGACCTGCCCTCACTCCAGCTGCTCACAAAAGCCACGTCCTCTTCCCATCCTGAGCTTCTGCTTACTTTCTCCGCCTCCCCAGCCCTCCGCCTGGCTCCCAGCCTAAGGCGGCCCTCCAGGGTCACCTCCAAGATTACACTGGGCTCCTGGGGCTGACCCTGTTGATATCCCGCCTCGTTCCCTCTTGGCCCCCGTGAGCTCCTGGCCGCTTGGACAGTACTGAGCCCACCAGTGGTCTCCCACATCCTTGGCCTGAGGGCGATCTCTGGTGTTGGGGTGCATGTGGCTTCCTGCACCAAGCAGGCCACACATGCTATAGAACCCTCTGCCTGGACACTCCTCCAGGCTCCGCGGTGAGCTCTCCCCCTTCCTTCAGGTTTCTGCTCACATGTCACTTTTTCTGAGAGGCCATCCCTCATCGCTCTGTATGAAAACTGCCAGCCTCTCCATCTTCTCCCACCACAAGGACCAGTGTGTGTGGACCACCACCCTGGCTTCCTCACCACGCTGTGGGACCGTCCCGGGGGATGCCCCACAGAGTCTCTCTGAGAGGGAGTGAGCCCCATTGCCAGGGTGACACCTCTTTCCCTGGCGTTCCCTGCTTCCCCGCTCCCTCACCAATATCCCTGGGATCAACTCGCCAAAACGTGTCTTAGGATAGAGTTTGAACAAACCTAAACTAAGACAATCTCTTGGTTCTTTGTTTTCACTGAGCATCTTGGTCACCTTCATCACACCCTGTCATCTTCCCACACACCTCTCACCCTATCCATACACACCTGCTTCATTTTCCTCACAGTGATTGCCGTTAACTGACCTTTCCTCTATTATCTATCTATCATCTATCCAAGTATCCACCTCTCCATCTACCTCTGTTATCTATCATATATCTATCCATCCTGTCACATATCTCTGTCTCTACCAACTATCCTCTGTATGTATGTATCTATCAATCATGCATCCATATCTATCTATATTCATCTATGTACGTATCATCCATCCATCCATCTACCCACCCATCTATCCATCCATCCATCCAGCCAGCCAGCCAGCCATATCTAGCTATCCTTCCTTTCACACATCTCTATCAACTGTCCTCTATCTATTCCTATGTGCGTATGTATCTTTGTATCTATCGATCATCCATATCTATCTATCTATCATCTATCTATCTTCTTATCCATCTTGCCATTGCCTAAAATCTACCCATTTGAAAGAAACTTCCAAAAAAAAAAAGAAAGAAACTTCCATGAAAGTACAACTTTGCCCATTAGTTCACAGTCATATTCCTAGCCTTTGGATCAGTTCCTGGCACACAGCAAGTAAATGAAATGTTTGTTGAGTGGTGACTCATTAAGGAAGCCCTGCCCTTGGGAAGAAGCGTGAAGATGACAGAGGACACGACGAGGCCTGCACCTTACCCTTGCTGCTGGCTGAGTGATCCAGAAGTCCACGTAGAGCTGTTGCTACTGGAGGCTGTGATGGAAGGTGGAGTGAAGAACAGTGGAGGGTGAAGAACGGTGTCCTGTCCACGACTCTCCCCAGCCAGTTGCCTGTCACCTGCATGGCTCCCAGTCCACAGAGGACAGGGAACTCACAGAAGGGGCTGGACAGGTGTTCTGGGACCATCACCTCCTCATGCTCAGACACAGGCCTGACCAGCATATAGGAGTATCTCCACCCAACTCCATCCCAACATGTTCTGTGTCCAGGTGACACAACCAGGACCAGCGTCGTTGCCTCTAGCATTAAGCATTTTCCTTTTCCTCACCTTGTTGAAAACAGGAGTGTGTGAAGGTCAGCACAAGAGTTGGACCTCAGGTCCCACCCCCTAGCCAGTGCATCCACATGCTACCCCACCCTCACCCTGTCCACGCTGGCAGAAGACAGCAGAGCGGAAGCTACTGAAGCCTCAGCATCCTAGAGCCTGTGCTCAGCAACCAGAGAAGCCACTGCCAGAAGAAGCCTGTGCCCCAGAGCTGGAGGGTTGTGCCCGCTTGCCACACCGGGGAAAAGCCCGTGTGCAGCAATGAAGATCTAGCACACCCATAAATAAGTAAGGAAATATTTTTTAAATATTCTGCTAGTGGTTCCCCAGCCCACTTCCACCTTGTCCGGTCCAGGGGTTTGTGGGCTCCCTGCTTCCCACCACTCTGAGGGTTCAGAGTCCAGAAGAGAAAGGAGCAGAAGCAGAGGGAGGCTGAGGAGACAGAGAGGATGCCAGACAGACAGAGACACAGCACTTATGCACAATATGCACAGCGTATTGAGTGCAGCCCTTTCACAGCATCATCTTTCAGGATTTGAAATAGCTCGACTGGAATTCCATCACCTCCATTAGCTTGGTTTGTAGAGATGCTTCCTAAGGCCTAGACAGGGGCCAGAGGTTTGGGGGCTCCATCTCGGGCTTTCCCATGCTTACAAACCACTCCCCTTGGCCCCCAGCCCAGCTGCTGGTGCCTCCGGGAAATGGGTTTTCCCTGGGTCAGCACAGCGGTCAGCGGCCAAGGAAAGGCCCAGGGGAGAAGCTGGGGCTGGGGCTTGCCCTTCGGGATCACGCAGTCAGAGGGATGAGCCTGGACCACTCAGGGCTCCTGGGTGAGGATCTGGGTTGTTGAGAGCCCCCAGTTCTGACAGCAGAAGCCAGGGGAGAGTGAGAAGAGATGCTTTTAGAGTGCCCACCCCCCCACACACACACCCTATGCCCCGTGAGCTCAGGGAGATGGCAAGAGCCCCTTAGTCCTGATGGATCCAGGATAACAGCAGGCCCTTCCCCCTCTACAGCCTCAGAATCCCCGAGGCCACAGGCATTGTCAGGACCCGGGGCAGTGGCAGAACCTGGGTGTCCCCCCCTCACTCTCACACACTCACACACCGGACACACACTCACATGCACACGATGCACTTGGCCCTGAAGCTCTGACATACACCACCAGGCCCAGTTCCTCTCCCCTGGGCTGAGATTTCCTGGGACGTCCCAGCAGAGCTGAGCTCAGATTCTTTCACCGCCAGTACCAGAGAAAAGGAGGGTCTTACCTGGGGAGACAGTCACTTGAACCTGGAAAGAGAGATCAGGCAGGAAGCCGAGGAGTCCTTCTTCCTTCAGAATCATCGCACCCCCCACACCTGTATTTTACCCTGCATCGTCTGCAGTGAGGCTTTCCAACGTCACTGTGAAGGCGAGGTCCTCTGGATGGTCCGTGACAGACACCCGGCCGCTCTTCACCTGCACTTCGGACCCGCTGGTCTGCACAGCCCGCTGCCACAGTGGGAAGCATGCTGTCTGCACCAGTATTTGTGAAATGCCCTGTATTCCTCCTCGTAGCGACACTCCACGCTCAGGGAGCCCCCACGGCGCCCGTCACGGTGCTGGGGCCATTCAGGGACAAAGAGCCGGGAAGACACAGTCAGTCTTGTCTTCATCCTAAAGAGCCTGGGCCAGAGGCGCCTGGGGGCTCAGGTCCTCTGGGAACCTGGAAGTCACCCTGAGGCCAGAGGAAGGAGGGATCAGAAGCCAAGGAGGCAATGGGTTAGCCCAGTATAAAGGTCAGGTGAGAGATGGTTTTGGCAAAGTACCAAACTTCTGAAAAAGGATTGTGTATGTAATATACTTGTGTGTGTGTGTGTGTGAGTCGCTTTGGTTGTGTCTGACACTTTGCGACTAACAAGCTAACAAACTGAGTAACAAACGTGTGAAGGAGGCCAGAACTCTGTGATGATTGTTGTTGTTTAGTCGCCAAGTCGTGCCCAGCTCTTTGCACCCCCATGGACTATATAGTCTGCCAGGCTCCTCTGTCCATGGGATTCTCCAGGCAAGAATGCTGGAGTGGGTTGCCATTTCCTTCTCCAGGGGATCTTTCTGATCCAGGGATCAAACCCAGGTCTCTGCCATGGCAGGCAGGTTTTTTACCATCTGAGCCAGCAGGGAAGCCCAAATAATCTACTTACTGATCACCTGTCTGTCTGTCCATCCAGCCATCCTTCCCTCCCTCCCTTTCTCTTTCCTTCCCTTTCCCCATCCACCCATCCAACCAACCATTGAGGCAATATAGTGTCACCCACAGATTGGGAGCCTTTTGCTTTTGTTTAATGCTCAAATTAACATACAAAATACATTTTTTGCTTCTTCATTTTCAAAAAAGTTTTTGGCTGAGCTGCCCAGCTTGCAGCATCTTAGTCCCCCACCCCGCCCCAGGGATCAAAGCCAGGGCCCTCAGCAGGAAAAATGCTGAGTCCTAACCACTGGACCACCACGGACTTCCCACTTCTTCACCTTCAATATCTTGAATTTGGACACTTGATTTCCCAGCAAGTCCAAGCGGCCCATGGACCTATATTCTGCAACAGGACGCTGTCTGCTTCTCCCACCAACATTCCCCGGTGCAGTGGCTCCCAAGCAACAGTGATAGTCCCGGCGGGAGAGATCTGGCAATGTCTGAAGACACCTTTGAGGGTCTCCATTGTGGAGCGGCGGGGGGGAGCGAATTGCTCCTGCCATCCAGTGGGCAGAGGCCAGGGATGCTGCTAAACATCTCTCAGTGCACGAGGCGCCCTCCACCACACAGAGTGAGGCGCCCCCAGGTCAGCAGTGCTGAGGTCCAGCAGCCTTGCTGGAGGGGGCCAAATGCCGCAGCTGGAAGACCTCCACACTGAGGCTTGGGACTCACGGCGAGCGGGGGCAGCCGCGCTGAGCCTTCTCTGTGCATCTGCTGCTGGGCTCTGCAAGCCCTGTTCTGTCCAATTCTGACCTCGAGGATGGGAGGGAGGGGAAGGGAAGAGGGGAGGACGGGAGGGACGGGGCGCGGGAGGAGGGCGACTTCTGGCCTGGATTCTTGACATTCGACTCTTTGAGTTGCCCGGGCCCCACCCTTCAAGATCTGGGGCCCCGCTTCCTCAGATGAGGGCGGGAAACGTGAGGGACACTTGGAGTTCCATCCAGAACCTCCCTGCCCTCTGATGCTCCACCAGACTCTGACCCGGAGCCAGCGTGAGTGACTCCCCCAGCGCCCCTAGAGCAAGCTCCCTGCCCCCCAGGGCCTCAAAAAGAAACCTTGACTTTTTCTCTCAGACCAGGACTGACCACATTCCCAGCAGTCTTACTTTCCAGGGGCCCACAGAGCAGGAACATCCCCGCCCTGCCCCGCGCGCCCCACCACCTGGGGCCAGCCCAGACCCCCGGAGAGGCACTGGGCCCACAGTGCATCAGGGCCTCCATACATAAAGGGATATTCACTGGGGACTTAGACGTAACTGACATTGTACTATTAAAAAGCCGGATGCCCTTGGATAGAAAAGTATTTGGTTTGAATCTTGACTATGTCTTTTATAAATGTATATACATATCTTTTTAATTTACTTATTCTGCTGTGCTGGGTCTTACTTGCAGCATGCAGGATCTTTAGTTGCAGCATGTGGGATCTAGTTCCCTATCCGGGGATGGAACCCAGGCTCCCTGCATTGACAGGGCACGGTCTTAGCCACTGGACTTCTGGAGAAGTCTGTTGTCTGTGTGTGTCTTTATGAACAGATTTTGAATAAATTATCTGCACCTTTCTGAGTTTGTCTGTCTTTTTCTAAATGTATTTATTATTTTTATTATTTATTTAATACAATAAATAACATTTATTAATGCATAAATAATATAATTAATTTTGTATAATTTTTATTATTTAAAAAAAATTTTTTACAATGCTGTGTTAGTTTCTGCTGTATACAACATGGATCCGTTACATGTCTACATATCTCTCCTCCTTCTCAGCCTCCCTTCCACCATACAGTCTCGTTTTAATAAAAATTAAGGATTGGATAAGGAAATGGCAACTCACTCCAGTATTTTTGCCAGGAAAATCTCATGGACGGAGGAGCCTGGTGGGCTACAGATCATGGGTTTGCAAGGAGTCAGACATGACTGAGCGACTTCACTTTCACTTTCAAAGATTGGGTTAAGTAAGAAGAGAAAATCTTGTCTAATTGATTTGTTCAGTTAGTATTAGTTCTCTGCTCCCCCCACCCTTCTCTCTGGTGTATCAAGATGACATTCCTGATTTTAACCATGTTGGGGATAATGACTCCAGTGGCCAGATATAACTTAGGGCTCAGTATATGCTGTCTCTGTGGGAAGCACGCTTTACATCTCATACTCCTCCTTTCCCAGTGAGCAAATACGCTGAGGTGGGCTTTTTACGGGCGCATCTCGCCCTCTGCTTCCTTATGCTTCCTCTCCTTCCCATCACCACCCTTTGCTCACACCGTGTCACCCTGACTCGCCCACATGCTCTTCCCCACGTCAGGCCCAGCCCCGCTCACCGGGGACGCAGAGCAGCAGCAGAGCCGCCAGCAGCCGCGTGGCCCGGTCCCCCGGTGATCTCTCCAAGCTCCTCCAGAGCCTGGAGCCTCCTCACCCAGTTCCACTCACTGTTTCCCTTTTCTGCTTTTCTTGGCTCTTTTCTGCTGCCTCCATCAGCCTCTTAGAGCTGTTCTCAGTTCGTCAGAAAATGAGGGAAGCTGGGGCCTTGGGACATCGTGAGATAATGATGCTGAAAACTTGTTGAAGGTCATTCTCACGTAGCACATTTGCATGTGCAGTTCCAGTTGCTGCTTCTTGTGAAGATGATGCCCATCCCATTCCTTGCCTGCGGTTGATGGGCCCATCCACCCTTCTGTAAATCAATGTTGCCCAGACAGCCACGCCAGTCTCGGTTAAATTCTATCTAGATTTTCTGAGCAAGTCCTCCTCTTTGTAAAGATAGCCCATTTCCTGTGGCTAGCACAGGCAGTCCTGTGTGATCAAGCACTGACTAAGCCTTGTCCGGACACAGTCAGCTGTTTGCAGGGCCCAGTGCAAGATGAAAATACCCTTATTCTTGAAATATTAAGAATTTCAGGAGAGGTCTAGTGGCTAACACTCTGTGCTCCCAATGCAGGGAGCCCAGATTTGATCCCTGGTCAGGGAACTGGATCCCACATGCCACAACTAAGAGTGATGCAATGAAGATCAAAGATCCTGAGTGCCATGACTAAGACCCAGTGCAGTCAAATAAATAAAGAAATACTAAAAAAAAAAAATTTCCAAATGGCAGCAATGGAGTATCAGCCAAGCATGTGGCCCTTCTAAGTGTGAAGCCTGCTGATGCTACACCAACTGTACCCCTGTGAGGCTGGCTCTGTGTTGGCCCTTGATGGCACAGATCAAGGGCATCGTGGAGGCCAGTGAGGCTGCCAAGGACGGAATGGAGGGAGATTAGTTGGACATGATGTCACAGAGAAACTCAAGAGTGAAGTGGGGACCTTGGAGGGTTTTGAGCAGAGGAGTGTCATGATCCCATGTTTGTTTCCACAGCATCATTCTTGCTGTTAAATGCGGAATAGGGACTTCCCTGATGGTCCAATGGTTAAGACCTCGCCTTTCAATGCAGGGGGCGTAGGTTCAACCTCTGGTTGGGGAGCTGAGATACCACATGTCTTGTAGCCAAAAACCCAAAACATAGAACAGAAACAATATTGTAACACATTCAGTAAAGACCTTAAAAATGGTCCAGATTGAAAAAAAAATCTTTTTAATAAATGGAGAGCAGACAATCCCCTCCCCAAGAAAAAGAAATGCAAATGGCTAAATGGTTGTCTGAGGAGGGCTTACAGATAGCTGAAGAAAAGAAGAGAAGCTAAAGGCAAAGGAGAAAAGGAAATATATTCCCATTTGAATGCAGAGTTCTAAACAATAGCAAGGAGAGATAAGAAAGCCTTCCCTCAGTGATCAAGGAAAAGAAATAGAGGAAAACAATAGAATGGGAAAGACTAGAGATCTCCTCAAGAAAATTAAAGATATCAAGGGAACATTTCATGCAAAGATGACCACAATAAAGGACAGAAATGGTGTGGACCTAACAGAAGCAGAAGATATCAAGAAGAGGTGGTAAGAATACACAGAAGAACTGTACCAAAAAGATCTTCATGACCCAGATAATCACTATGGTGTGATCACTCACCTAGAGCCAGACATCCTGGAACGTGAAGTCAAGTGGACCTTAGGAAGCATCACTATGAACAAAGCTAATGGAGGTGATGGAATTTCAGTTGAGTTATTTCAAGTCCTAAAAGATGATGCTGTGAAAGTGTTACGCTCAATATGCCAGCAAATCTGGAAAACTCAGTAGTAGCCACAGGACTGGAAAAGGTCAGTCTTCATTCCAATCCCAAAGAAAGGCAGTGCCAAAGAATGTTCAAACTACCACACAATTGCACTCATCTCACACGCCAATAAAGTAATGCTCAAAATTCTCCAAGCCAGGCTTCATGAACCATAAACTTCCACATGTTCAANCTATAAAGAAAGCTGAGCACTGAAGAATTGATGCTTTTGAACTGTGGTGTTGGAGAAGACTCTCGAGAGTCCCTTGGACTG